TCTTCATGTGGGTCCCAAAAGACTGGAGGGGGGGCTATCTTAAAAGCTGTTGGTGGGGTATTTTCTACTCGTTGGGCTGCCTTTTCTGGTCTCAGTGGGAGAGGATGCACCTAGCCTCACAGACCCTTGATGTGCCAGGGTTGAGGGATATCCAGGAAGGGCCCCAATCTGAGGAGAAGGATTGCGGGAGGGAGTGATCAGGAGCAGGGGCACTGAGTGGGACATAAAGCGAATAAAAAAAAAAAAAAAAATCTTGGTATGAGGGATTATGTTGCATTGCCCTTGTGCTTCCAATAGGGGGAGCCAGTGAGAGGTTTAGAAAACCGATACAGCAGGGGAAGCAGAAGGTGAAATGAGACTTTGAAGGCGGTGGATGAGGGCAGCCTCCAGGCTCTAGGGCAACAGTGAAGGAAGCTGATTGTTTCCAGAGGGAAAGTCTTCCTGCCAACTCAGTGACTGAAGACTTCTGACCCCTGGAACATTAAGAGCAGTTTATGTCATTTTGTAGCTCTTAAGAGTGTGATGGGTGAGCCGGGCGGTGGTGGTGCATGCCTTTAACCCCAGCACTTGGGAGGCAGAGGCAGGCAGATTTCTGAGTTCGAGAGTTCGAGGCTAGCCTGGTCTACAGAGTGAGTTACAGGACAGCCAGGGCTACACAGAGAAACCCTGTCTTGAAAAAAAACAAAACAAACAAACAAACAAACAAACAAAAAGAGTGTGATGGGTGGTTTGTTACATTAATGATACACTCTTTCAGGCTTCTTTGTCTATCAGGCATTGGCTTATATAGTTTTTATTGTGTGTAAGTGTGAGTGTTGGGTGTGTGTAGTATATGTGTGTGCAGGGGTATGTGCACACGGAGGCCAGAGGAGGATGTTGAGTGGTCTACTGTATCATGCTTCTCCTTGGAGACGATCTCTCTCTCTCTCTCTCTCTCTCTCTCTCTCTCTCTCTCTCTCTCTGAATCTGGAGCTTGGAAACCCAAGCGAGTCTCCTGTCTCCACTTAGCACAACATTTGGCATTGTTGATGTGTGCAGTTGCACCCAAAATTTTACATAGATGCTTCGGATTCAAAATCATCACCTCAAGCTTGTGTGACAAGTTGCTTTTACCAGCAAGCAATCTTTCCAGTCCTGTATAGGTTTTTTTTTTATAATCTATTTTATCACCTGGTAACTGCCCCCCAGTTGTCCATCTCTACCCCCTGTAACTTTAATGTTCAAAACCTATTTTTAATGATGGTTCTTAAATGTATTAACCTGCCTTAGCCCACCACCCACCAGAGGTAGTGGAAAATAAAGGATACAGGGGGAGGGGGATGGACCTGTTTAGAGAGGTTCTTTGGAGCAACTCCCATCTGTGTTGTCTGGAAATGAGCAGGTTCACAGGTTAGCAGCAGCAGCTCGATCCACTCACAAACACTTCACGGATACACCAGCAGTCCAGTTCAGTAGAGTTGACCTACCGAACTGACATGACCTAGCAGAGACAGCCAGGCCTCAGCCTCAGCCTCGGCTCAAATCAGCAGGAGGAAACAGGAGGAACACCAGGAGAAGTTCTCAGCTGTGCCTCTCTCAGCAAAGCACAGATCAGTGAAGACTTGAGACCCACACATGTTGCACAGCTAGCTGTACCAGCAAACAAAGCTCCGCCCCGTCACTGTCTTTTAAGTCCTATTTATACTCTCCAACATCACGTGACCTCCACAGGTCTTGCCTCCGCATGTGCATCTCTTTGCATCTCAGCTGACATCACTTTGCCAGCTTGAGTCCTCAGAAGCTGCAAGAAACTGCAGCACATCACCAGAAGTTCTTTGGTGCATTTCTCTCTATGGAGTCCTGACAAATGCAGCTCAACTACACAATATAAGGGGGACCAATACATGTGGGTCGTTAGCAGAGAACCCCTTCATCACGTGTCCTTTTACGTGCTTGCGTTAGCAGAACGTCCTCTCTTCTGTGTCTGCTTCAGTGAAATGTTCTTTCATGTGTTTGCCCCAGCAAAACACCAACTGACTTTCCAAAGAACCCTCAAGTTTCCACTTCAACCCCTACCCCTTTGCTCGTGTGTGGTGTGTGTGTGTGTGTGTGTGTGTGTGTGCATGTAGAGGCCAGAGGTTAATGGTGGGTGTCTTCTGCAATTATTCAACATTATTTTATTATTATTATTATTATTATTATTATTATTTTGAGACAGTCTCTCCCTGAACATGTAGCTCATTAATTTGGCTGGTTGGCCAGTGGACCACAGGGATTCTCCTGTCTGTACTATCTCAGTGCAAGGATTGCAGAGGCTTGCCCCCAAGACTGGCTTTTTATATGGGTGCTGGAAACATGAACTCAAGTCCTTATGCTTGCCAGGCAAGCCCTTTACTGACAGCCCACCTCCCCACCCTCTCAGTCATACTCAAATTATTTGATATTATCCTACAGCTTCTTCATGTTCACTGAGCTTTCCTTCTGAATGTTCCAATTTGCTATTAACCATATTCAATTATTTTTAAAGACTATGGCTATTATTTTGTGGTAGAACCACTTTAAGCTTATCCCCAGCTAGCTTATATATAAATGGGATTCAGATGAAGGGTATTTTATTTGACCTTGATTATTACTAAGGGGTCACCACCCCTAATCTACTCTTTTAACAGCCGGCCTGGCTGCCTCCCCAGAGTGTACCCCAGACATTTGCTGTCTCTCCTGGCCATGTGCTCATTATCCGACTCCCTTCATGGTGGCTTCTTCTCTCCTCTCCTTCCTCTTCTTCTTGACTCCCTCCCCCAACCAGGTCACTCTAAACCCACCCTCTCCAGTAATTGGCTGTAGCCAATTTAATTTAACCAATAGCTTTAAATCAAGAAACATGATTTGCATAACAAAAGCTTGTAAACAGGAGAAGTCACCTGCAGGCCTAGCCCTTCAGGTACAGAATTTAGCATTCCGAGCAAATCTCAACAGTATTCCAGAATAGTTGGCTGATTTTTTTCTTACAGTTTCCATTTCTCTGATGAGGTTCTTCAGCCTTCTATTCATTCTGATTTTACTTTTGAACAAGTGTTCAAACATATATATATATAATTATTACAGTTCTTGTTTGCTGACTCCAGTCTTTCTCATGTATGTATCTTGCTACTTAACTGTTTTTCCCCCAGACTGTGGTTTAAAAGTGTTATATCCAAGTGTCGGTTTGATAAGAGTGGACTTGTGATGGTTAATGCTGTTTGCCAACTTGACAGGATGTAGAACAGCAGCTCTCGGCCTGTGGGTCGAGATCCCCACAGGGCTTGCATATCAGATATCCTGTACATCAGGTATTCACATTACGATCCATAACTAGCAAAATTATAGTTATGAAGTAGCAATGAAATAATCTTATGGTTGGGGGTCCCCACCACATGAAGGACTGTGTTAAAGGGTCGCAGCTTTAGGAAGGTTGAGAATCTCCATCCTAGAATCACCTAGGAGAAACATCTCTGGGTGTGTCTGTGAAGGATTTTCTAAATTGAGTTACTGAGATGGAAGGATCCATCCAAACGTGGGTAGCATCGTCTATGAAGTAGACTAGGCTATTAAGAGGAAACTTCATCTCTCCCTGCACCCTGACTTGCAGGTTCAGTGAGCTCGCTGTCACAAGAACTTTCCACCATGAGGGACTGCTGTCCTCTCTCATCTGTGAGCCTAAAAGATACCCTCTCTGTAGGCTAACTGATCCCCCTCTGTGAGCCTAAGAGACCTCCCCCTCAATGAGCCTGACTCCCCAATGTAAGCCTATCTGACCCCCCTCTGAGAGCCTATCAGACCTGCCTCTGTTAGCCTAGCTGACTGCTCCCCCCCAACTATTGTGTTTCTGTCAGTGTCATGGCAATAAGAATATCAACTAATGTAGTCTTACTGTGCAGCCAGGCTAGCCTTGAACTCATGATCCTCCTGCCTCACAGCATATGATGACATTTTCTTCCCTTTTAATACTGACTAGTCTTTTACTACAAGTATACACTAAATTTGATACTAAATTCCTTTTAACTGTGCCAGTATTTGTCCTCATGTCTGTGACTAAGTCACCGGTGGACCTTTTTGGTGTTTTTCTAGAGGAGTGGTGTGTGTGTGTGTGTGTGTGTGTGTTAGTACACATAGCAAGCACTACATCATCTCTGTTGGCAGCTGTTGGCAGGGCAGGAAGCCGTGTTGTGGAGATGTAGCTCTATCCCATGCACGAGCACCTTAGTTTTTAGTCACAGACCTGTGGTAGATTCCCCTAAAGTCTTTCAGGTAACTCTCCCTGCATAGCTTTTATCAGTTACTGGGCCATATAATTTCCAGCCACATTAGCAGCTCGGAATGCCAGTCTCTGACTCTTGCTTGGTCTGTGTGATTACTACCCTGTTTGTGATTTCTTCTCCCTGGGGGAGGCCAGGGTCTCCACTTTACTCTCTCCTTTCTCAAAGACCACAGCACTTTATGTTTTTCTTACTTGAGTTTTTCTTAGCCTTTCTCCTACCAGAAATAAACTGCTAGTGCTTTAGAATTTGTTTCTGTTTGTTATTGCCTTTGCATAGAAGGATAAAGCAATGAGAAAAGGCCATGGCGTTCCGGGCAAGACAATGAATGCTATGTCACACTCACAAAATACACTGGAGTCTGAATCTTCCATGAAACAGGCTCATGCAGCTACAGTCCGTCACACTAGCACTGACTGCTACTCAGAAGGTCCACAGGATGAAGAAATCAGCTCTGCTTCGTGTCTGTGTCTTTTAGAAGGGGAAGAGACTCTGTGATAAAGTCTAGAAACGATTCACGTTTACTGCAGAGTCCATAAAGAAAACTTCTGGGCTTGAGCACTGTGACACGCGCAGAGCAAGCTGAGCTTGGGAGTCAGTGTGTATCTAAGGAGCATCTTCAGGGTGTGCTGCGGTGAGCCTTTAAAGAACAAATTGACTATTAATTTCTATAGCAGCCCTAGAAACTGAATCACTTCCTGACAAATTGCTTCTGTTTTGGTCAAGTCTCCTTGCTGCTACTTCACAGGATGGGCTGTTCCCTCCCTCACCGGTGCTTCTCACCCTGCTTACAGCCCTTCTCATCCTGCTTACAGCCGGCACTCCCCACTGCGTGTGAAAGGCATTGGGTAAAGATGGCTGACAGCCCTATCTATTCAACACTAGAGCTGCCTGGCCCACCTCAAGTCCAAGATGATTCCAGATGGAAGTTCAAAGGTGAGTTAGGCACATCACACTGAAGACTGTGCCGAGGAGGAGAGGAGAGGGGAATTACTGGCAAGAGAGGGTGCGGCGGAGTCAAGGATGCTATGAAGAAATACTTCAGGTTCAGTTTGCGGGGCGATATGGACTCTCAGTGTGGCGTGCAGATGTGAGTCTCAGATGATTCTTTTCTGGCACCCACTTCTGTGATCCCAGCTCATGCCCAGCAATGGCAACGCTATCTTTTTTGTTGTTAATTTTTTTCTTTATTCTCAAGGATTCTGTACATGGAGACAGTCATGCTAATTCTTTATTGATCTCGATCTAAAAGTCAGAACTTTGTGAGAGAACTCTGTCAGTAGTCAGGCTTTACTGATTGACATTCCACCACATCTGTTTGGCTAACCACGGAGTGAAGAAAGTAACCGTTTTATTAAGGGATAATGGTAAGATTTCTTGAAATGAGAAATGGATTCGCAGAATGTAAATTTGTTTCCTGTTTCTCACTCCACTGCCCCCTTCTTCGGTTGCAACTCAGTGGTGGTGAGGAGTGAAGGCATTGGACACTACAGATTGCTGGCCAGAGCTCTGGGGAGTCAGAGACCACCAATGACACCCACAAAACCTCCTTTTTATACAGATTCTCATCTGAGACAGAGAGTGACGTAAAGGTCAGAATTAATCTTTGCTTTTACACATCAAGCAGGTGACTCCAGAAGACACAGTGTCTTCTATAGTTTTTTAGATTTTCTCTGTTATATAATTTTGCCACCCTTTTCCTCTTCTTTTTATTACAATTTTTAATGTACCTTTTGAAAACATGGCTGTGTTTTCTAAATCATGGGCATTTAGATTTATTTCTGTTTCTATAAACTATACAGAGCTATATATCATTATATGTGTGATTTTTTCCTTTATTATATATGCTCTAATTTGAGAGGAATAGAAAGGTTAAGTCAAAAGGAATGTATATTTTGAAGTATAGAACTTAATAGCATGATATGTTATATAATATATGTTAAGTAAAGAACCTAGTAATAGTTGAAGCTAATATATACATAAAATAAATTAAAATTTTTGTTTTCTTTAAGTTGGATGGTGGCTACCCAAATACAATTATAATTTGATAACTTTTTCTTCTTTTCATTTATTAAACCACAACTAAAATGAGTTTTTTTTATTTCACTAGGAAGTCATTTATGCAGCTGGACTTGGTGGTGTTCACCTTTAATTCCAGCACTCAGGAGGCAGAGGCAGGTAGATCTCTGAGTTCAAGGCCAACCTGGTTTAGAGAATAAGTTCCAGGAGACAACAAAACCTTGTCTAGGGTGGTAGGGGATAGGCATAAATAATAAAAAAGTCATCTACACTACAAATCTGGTGTATTTTTAATTTTTAGTTTTAATTTTATTTTTTGAGACAGGCTTTCTCTGTCTTGGCTATACTGGAACTCACTCTGTAGACCAGGCTGGCCTCAAACTCACAGGGATCCACCTGCCTCTGCCTCCCCAGTGCTGGGGTTAAAGGTGAAATTTATTGTTGTTGTTTGTTTCACTGTAATACTAGAGATTTGGGAATCACGAGTGAAAGTATTTATCATGCTGAACTCTTATGAAGATTCTCTCACTATGAAATTACCTTAAGAAATTGAGAATTTTTCATCGATACAAATGTTATAGAACAATTTATCTAAAACTTGAATAGGTACAGGAGGCTAAAATAGGAAAATTAAATTCTCTCTTTCTTTCTGATACAAAATCTCATGTAGCCCAAGCTGGCCTCAAATTTGCTGGGGTGACTTTGAATCACTGATCTTTCTGTCTCTATATCCCAAGTGCCACCATTACAGGCACGGGGTACCAGATCCAGCTTAAAAATAATTGTTCTATTTCAAGATAACCGAAGGAATAAAAAAAAATCTTTACAATTTTTCTTTACACATAATTTCCATACCACTAAACTATAAAACACCTATGATTTTTAAACTCAAATCTGAGAAAAACTTTTACATTTTTAAACTAGAAATACAGTATTCTTAGAGAAAGTATGGCACATAATTAATATGTCACAATGCTCTATCCTCAAACATAAGGCCAACCTAAACTTACTATATGTCCAATAATTTCTTGCAAAACAAGGTGAATTTTATCAAGTACTTCTGAGACTAAGCTTACTTTATTTCAGTTTAAGTTTTATCTATTTAAAATTTGAGTGCCGGGTTCAAATTAGAAGGATACAAAATAAATAAATAAATAAAAATAAAAAAGCAAAAAACCTTCCCTCTGTTTCTGCTCCTAGCTACCCATTTCCTCTTTAAAAGAGAAAACACTGTCAAATTCCTGGACAGACTTCCACATTTCTTCTTGGCTGAAGGATCAGAAGTGCTCTTGGATAGACTTCAGTGATACCAAGCAGCCCTTGTTCTAAGAAATATGCCTTTCTTTTAACTGTATACTTAAAAATCGATTCATATTGGGTTTAAAAGAATCCTTCTTCAAAAGCTACATATTTCATGGCCATAAATATATCCGGCTGTTTTTTTTTTTTGATAAAAATTGCAATTTTCGGTTGATAGAAGTAGACAGTTGGCCTTCCTACAGACGTTGCTGCCACAAGCAGCCTTATGAGTATATTTTGCACACGTGTGCGTATCTAGAAAAATGTTTCTTGAGGAGAAATTGCTGGACCAAAAGGCAAATGGTTTTCAATTCTGGTAAATTATGCCGAATTGTCCTTCAATCCCTAAAAGGCAGTCTGGCTACACTGTAGCTCACTGTTCTAGTCTGAGAGTACAGAAGCCACAGTTGCAAGGGCAAGGTTTCCCTTTAACTTGAGAGCAAGTGCCTGCCCTAACCAGGAGAAGAACCTGGGTCTCTGTCCTCCAGGCAGAATTGCTTCAAGATAGCAGAGATTCTTGCCTGAGCTTCTGTGCACGGCTCAAGGATTTTGCTTTGGATTGTGTCTCTGCAGCTGTCTTACACCAGCCCCGTTTTTCCTGCCTTGTAATGGTGGCTTTGGGACTTTTGACCGTGATTCTCATGAGTCTACTGATGTACCAACGGATCCTGTGCTGTGGTGAGTGCTGACTTCACCTCCAAATTAACCTTTCGTTTTATATCATAAAGCAAGATGACTGTTAGTGACAGGGTTTTACAGACTCTAGGGCATTCATGGGATCAAACCACACTCCCCGCTTCGTATTCAGGCCCAACTTTCATCAGAGAAACTCCCAGGAAGTTGGGACTTTTCTGGTCCAGACTGATTATGCCACAGTTGTCTGGAAAAGGCATGAGACTACCAAATGCAATTTGATGCCTCAGTCTGAGGACACTAGTCCTAGTGCCACGTGCAGCCTGCCCTCAGGAAGTTACGTAATCTTTATGTGACACGAAAAGCTTTCCTCACTTTCTAGTTCCCGATCTAGAGTATGTACAAGCACCACAGTTGTTCACGTATGTACGTCTCCTATGGTGGGATGGCTTATGGTGATTTTATGCAAATGAGTCTCATGGAAGGAGAAAATCAAGAGATCGTGGAACCTTATTTGAAGTCCCCGAGATGTTTACACAGTGCCCTCTCATTCCAAGCACTTTAAAGGAATGAGGATTGTATCTTGTAGAGGAACCCGGTAAAGAGAATTCTATCATTTTTCAGTTTAGTATCTGATGCGCTTTTCTGTCAGAAAAAAATTATGTTTATTTACTTTGGCTGCATATGAATTTTTTCCCAATTTCTATTGGTTCCAGATGATCACACCTGTTGGTTCTTTCTGGTTTGTCTCCTTTTCCTATATACCCCATGTGAACTCAAGAACTCCATGAACTCATTGGAGATATACAGACAGTACCTATATATATATATGTACCATGACAGCGTCTGCATCCTTTAATGCACTGTGTGTATATCACATGGATACATATGACTTTTAGTGTACTATGTGCTCCACAGGCTGAACAGACATTTGGTCAGAATCCATGCCTGCTTGGAGAAAAGTACTTCAGGAGTGATGAGTTGAACGTTGTGGACTATTCAATTTGAGGTCATATGTTACAGATTTCCCTAAACCTTAGTTTGAAAAGGGATAGGGGCAAGGTAGACACTGGAGAGGCAATGTTTTCCTTTCCAAGATCATTTGGTCCATAAAGACATGAGCTGTGTGTCCTCTTTCCTTCTAGGTTCCAAGGACTCTAAGTGTGCCCACTGCCCCAGCTGCCCCAACCTCTGGATGAGGAATGGTAGCCACTGTTACTACTTCTCAATAGAGAAAAAGGACTGGAATTCTAGTATGAAATTCTGTGCAGACAAAGGCTCAAATCTCCTTACATTTCCGGACAACCAGGGAATGGTAAATAAAGACATGTAGAAAATATAGAGTGAGTCCTCCCTCCCTCTCCCTCCCTCTCCCTCCCTCTCCCTCTTCCTCCCTCTCCCTCTTCCTCCCTCTCCCTCTCCCTCCCTCTTCCTCCCTCTCCCTCCCTCTCCCTCCCTCTCCCTCCCTCTCCTTCCCTCTCCCTTCCCCTCTTCTTTCCCCTTCTACATCTTACTATGTAGTCCAGGCTGGCTTTGAACTTGTGGTTTTCTTGCCCCGGCCTCCTAGCTCTTTGTGTGTGTGTGTTTAAATATTCACTTATCTGCATTTGTGTATGTGTTTATTTATGTGAGTATTTGAACATTTATTTATTTGTGCATCCAAGTGTATGCACACATGCCATGGTGTGCTTGTGGTGTGTATATGTGCATGTGCATGTGCTTGTGCGTGTGTGCGTGCGTGTGTGTGTGTGTGTGTGTGTGTGTGTGTGTATGCATGAGGCAAGGTGGCAGTAAGCATTGCAGAGAAGAACTAGATTTAGAATACAGACCTAGTTAAATGAGGCATGATGTCCTGAGACACACAGGTCAGTTCTATACAGAAGTCAGTGGAACTTGGGAGGGAGGGGCCACAGGGACAAAGGGACTGCACATAGGGACTTAACTGTCCTCTGTTGAGTGTTCCTTCATTCACTGGATTTCAGTAAGTTCTAGGCTGGGAACAATGTCTAGAAAGTTCAATTAGAAGAAAAGAACAAAAGGTGGGGGTGGGGTTCTGTTTCCTACAGCTCCCTCAGCTCCTGTTCACCCAGTCTCTCCATGGCTCTGCCGGTCCTAGAAGACATAAACCAAGTAAGGAGTTGACATCCTGACACAAACTTAACAAAACTCAGTTATAATTCGCACATAAGAAAGTAAGAAATTTTAGATTATTTTTTTTGTTTTGATATTGCTGTTTGTTTAATTTGAGGGGGAACAAAATAAAACCACAGAAAATAGTTTATTAATGATTGAGAGCTAGGGACTTTGTAGCCCAGGCTGGTTTCAAATTCATGATGGCTCAGACTTCCATTCTGATTAATCTACTGGGATTCAAGGAGTCTACCACACTCCTAGATTGTTACTTCCTATTTTGAGAAAAGATGGGCTATTTAGTTTATTTTCCTCTCAGAAGAACATGTATGCGCTTGAAATTCTGGAAGGATCAAAATTCCAAATCCTTCCGCAGAGATTCACTTTTCCTTCACCCTTTCTCTAAGCCAAGCGGCAGGATACACTATATAGCCTTGTTTTCTGGAACTTACTGTAGCTGTTTTAAGCATCTGACTGAAGTCAATAGCAAAAGTGAGCAACTAGCTCGAAACATTTGCCCCCAAACTACTGACACAGCAGCAGTGAGTCACAACACAAGAATCAAGTCACAGTGCGGCACAGGATTAACTATAGCAGCTCTGAAAACTACACCATGCACGCAGGAGACATGTGCCCAGGAGAGCTGGAAGGGCTAAGACTCGGACTATCTGGGAGTCGGAGTTGTCTTTGTGCCCGGATGGATTTTGTTTTTCTTTCCTTATGTTTCCTGGATCATGTGCCCACTATGGAGAGTACTCCACTGAGTTAAGTCGGCTGTGCTTCCAAAGTCAAGACTGTTGGCTTTTTTTTTTTTTTTAAACAAAACCAAACCCAACCCAACCCAGAGCTCTTGGTTCCAGTTAGAGTTGGAGGGTACCAAGATCTCCTGCTACATTTAATAAAACTACTGATAAGTTATTTTCCACATTCTTATGGATTCTTACTTGATTCTTTTTTTCTTTTTTTCACCTGTTGTCAAAGTCTATAAAACCAAAACGACCTGTACAGATTGGTAGAGTCCGTTGTCCCAGGTTAACTCTTTGGCTCTCAAGGCAAGGCTTATTTTGTTATGGTATGAGCAATATTCCCAGTTTCATGTGTGTCTGGAAAGCTACCAAAAGACCATATTTAAAAACAAAAATCTGGGCGTGGTGACACATATCAGCAATTCCTCCACTCTGGGGACCGAGGCAGAAGCATGTGCTCAGGGCAACCTGTTTTCTATGGACCCCCTCAGAAGCTGGACCAGGGCCTGCATAGTGACAGCCATTGAAAATCCAGGAGCAGTAAAGGCTGTGCAAAGACCCAATGCAAGAATGCTCTTGGACTGTTACAAAAAAGAGGAAAGAAGGCAGGTGGGGCTAGAAGTTAGTGCTTGAGCAGTTGGCAGTGCCCAGATCGTGCAAGCCTTTGTATGTGCAGTCAAGATTTAGGTTTTTAAGACCTGAAACCCAGTGAAGGGAAGATAGAGGTGCTTCAGGGTCTTAGTAGATAGCACAGAAGAGAATCCAAGTGTCTGCCGTCCCTGGGCATGCAGAAAGAATTTAGTTTTCCTTTGACTCTCTTCTTGCTGGTGAGGATGCAGTCAGGCAAAGGAAAGCCATCTACAACAGAGCTGCCCATAAATTCTTTCTCTTCAGGCGCCATCTTCCAGGAATAGAATAAAAATGACTCTCAACTGGGACATTTAGTAGCATCATAATAATAGAGCTGAAATTTCACTGGGCTTTCTTGATTTCTGAATAAAAGACAATTTTCTCTAAAGGAAATTGTTCAACAAACACTAATCTAAAATACCATAAAAAGGTCATTCAAGTAATTCAGTCCAATTTCAATTAATTAAGCTGTCACTGGAAAATATTGAAAGTGTAATTATTCATTACATGAATGTTCAACCTTAATGACAAAATTAATCTTCTTGGATGTATTCTTTGTTCTGTTTAATGCGTTGGATAGTTCCCTTAGGGCGTAAACATCTTCGTTTGATTGCCCTACCATGGAGAGCAAAGCGTCTTTATCCTGTCCCAAAGGGTAGCACAGCACACAAGCAGGTACACTTAGTTTAACTTTGTCTTAAGGCCCATTGGAAAAACAAGAGCCCGATGGGGTCACAGATCACATTTAGTTTAACTTTGTCTTAAGGCCCATTGGAAAAACAAGAGCCTGGTGGGGTCACAGATCACATCGCCGTGAATGTAACTGCGGTCGGTGCTGTGGATGGTGACTGAGGTGACTGCTCCTGCAGCGGGGTCGATCTTCTTTCTGCTGAGTACCTATCAGGCCCTATCTAATCAGAAAGGAAGTAGCAGTGGAGGTGGAGCTGACCCAGTATCTTATCTGTTATATTGTGAGAGTGTGCTTATGAACTAAAGGTCACTTCTGGGAGGTGGCTCCTTGTAAAAGACAGACTTCTATTAGAACTCAGAGCCCCAATAGAATTAGAAGGTAAAGAGGGGTTAGTTATTGGAAGTGGTTGTTTGCCTTAGCTTCCTTCATTTCAATAAAATTCCTTAGAGTGAATAGCTTAAACAGCAGACACAGCTTTGGAGACTGGGATGTCTAAAGTTAAGAATGCTATTGAGAGCCCCTTTCAGCTCATCTGAGGGTGTCTTGCCTTGTGTCCTCTCTGTAGAGAGAGCTTCAGCTCCGGTCCCCTCTTATTTTAAGGCCATAGGATTGTGTCATGGGGGTACCATCTTATGACCTCATCTAAGCCTAATCACCTCAAAGCTATTTATGTTCAGATGGCATCATGTCAGAGGTTAGGGTTTCAATATATGAATTTTGAGAGAGAGAGAGAGAGAGAGAGAGAGAGAGAGAGAGAGAGAGGATATGGATGACTATGTGATCCACTCAAAGGTTCCTGGGTGTCTTTGTTATCTTTATTCACCATCTTCAATCTGTCTCTTAGAACCCCTTGCAAGAGTACCTGGGCCAGGACTTTTACTGGATTGGCTTGAGGAACATTGACGGCTGGAGGTGGGAAGGTGGCCCAGCTCTCAGCTTAAGGTAAAGTGTTTGAGGAATGACGGCAGTGAAAGCAGAGGAAGGAAGAAGGAAAAACCTGGGGAAAGAGAAGGGAAATGACAAACAGTAAAGAGTGAAAAGGAGAGGGAGAGATTGCGGGGTGGGGGTGGTGGTGGTTAGGAGATGCTTCCCCTGCATGAGAGGAGAGTAGGAGGATCCTTCCTGATTGGGTGGCCCCTGGGAGGGCAGAGGGCTGCTCTTATGGCTCTGACTAGCCATCAGGCCATTTCTGCTGCTCTGACTGACTAGCAACCAGGTGTTTCTTTATTTATACAAGTCTCACAGAACAAAGACAAACTAAAGATTACCCAAGTGGTACAGAATATATGTTTGACTTTTCATTACATGTCCAGGGCTACAAATTCAGTTACAATTAGAAAATAAATAAAATAGAATAGATGAATCTTTTCTTCTTCTTTTCCTCCTCCTCTTCCTCCTCCTCCTCCACTTTATAACTCCAAAGTAGACAATCTAAAGGATGTTTTCTCTAAGGCAAACATATTTAATATATGACAGCCTGCTTTTTGGATGACAGTGCTTGCTGTTTGAAAGCACTCTGGACAAACAGAAACTATCTGAACCGGTCTTTTTATGATTAGCAAGTACTAATACCTAACTTCTATTACTATTTCATCATCTACACTATAAAATAGAGAAAGTTTATTTTAGTCAATCTATCTTATCTTCTGAGTTTTATTCCTTCAGGAGTGAAACTGTATGACTTCTATCTTTAAACTATATTTATAAAGCCCTTTAAGGCTATAATAAAAAGAGAGCTTGAATTTGTAACTGATTCCTCTGGTCAGTTAGAGTTTGTCAATTGTCTCTTTTAACCCTGCATCAATTTTACTGCTTGCATTAGCTCAGGAGCAGACACCTCAAGAAGGCTCCTAGAGTAATGATCTCCTTTAGCTATGTGCTTATCGGTGCTTAATGATCTCCAAGGCTTAAAGAAGGCCCCAAATAGGGCCAGATAAAGTTAATTTTAGGATTTCCCTAAAAAGGCTCAGACATAATTTTTTTCTGGAAAAGACATAAAATTAATCATAATGCAGAAATTCCCCAAGAGTGCAACACACAGAGACCAAACCCCAAAATTAGAGACAGACGGATAGCGATGGTAGCAACCTGCTCGGCTTGCTGGAGCTGTGTTAAGCAGCTGTGCTGGCTCCATTGCCAGTGGGTTTGCCTGTGTCAGAGATGATAAAGGAACAAAGACAGGAAAGAACATCAGTGATCATAGGAAAGGACAAACATGCGGTGGTGGCAGTGATGTTTTCAAGGAGAAAACTGCTGTTCTGGTACCTGAGGGTTCTGAGGAGGAGACAGGAGTCATTGCACTTCATTTCTTTTGTGCTTTTTAAGTCTTCTACTCTGCAAAAGTGACTCATGCCTCTGGTTTCCTACAGGATTCTTACCAACAGCTTGATACAGAAGTGCGGTGCCATCCACAGAGCTGGCCTCCAAGCCTCCAGTTGTGAAGTTGCTTTGCAGTGGATCTGTAAGAAGCTCTTATCCTGATGATGGATGCCACTATGTCCTGAGGGAATAGGCCTGGGGAATCTTGGTCCACAAAGATGTGTTTAACAAATTCCTGTTATGATATGCCATTAGACAGAGGATTAGCATACCTTCCTGGGAGTTAGCATTTCCTGTTGGGCTTTCTCAGCAAGTATTATGTTAGCCATTTAAAGCCTAAATCTGGGCAAATGAAATAGAGAAAGTTTATTTTAATGGCTCTTACTGCAGAAACTCACTGTGTTTCTCATCCCTTCCTCTGCCATCTCAGTCAAAGATATGTGGAAAACTATTTATCCACAGAAGAATGAATCCTTGCCATGTTCAGTAACATGTTACCTAGACATCAACTAGACACAGAAAGACAAACACCTCATGTCCTCATTCCTGCTTGGGAGCTGAACAAGCTCATGCCTGAGGTGTAAGGAGAAGTTCAGTGGTTACCAGAGTCCAGGAGAGTGATGGGGTGGTAGAAGTTGGTTAATGGTTTGGCTGGTATGGAGGTGACAATAATAATTGTCATATGGTTGCCAATTTATTGTAAACTTCCAAATAGCTAGGCAGAAGGACTGTGGGTGTTTGTAAATGCCTGAAGGACAGATGTGCTGAGCATTCTGACTGGATCATTTTCCACCTACATTGAAGTATCATGCTGTGCCGCATAAATGTGTGCAATCACAATCTATCCACAAAAGTTAAAGAAGTCATGATTAAAATTAAAAAATACCTTTCTGGTACACATCTATTTTATATCCTGAATGAATCTGAAGAAGCATGTACCTGTAGTATTGGTGAGATATTTTTCTGTGTGCACTGGCATGAAACACATGAACTATGTCAGGTAATGGTACCTTCCCCCACTGTGCATCCTGTTCTAACAGTGGCTCGTTGTGCTTGGAGTTTTATCCTGAAACACTGCTTGCTGCAAGAAGACATAGCTGTAAAGTGTGGGAAGCCAATGACAGCAGGGTGGGGTGGAAGCGGATGACAACAGGGTGAGGCTTTCTGCTACCTCAGCTCTTCACACTTACACATAGAGTTCCTCTTAATCTAGATTTTCAAATACGTTTTCGTGGGTGTGGTTGAAGAAGCCAACGTGTGACCGTTTCTCTTCTATGCAGTGAATGTGTGCTTTGCATTAACTTGGTGATAGACCTTAATCTGAGACTGGGTTTTTATAGAGAAAACTTTATGGAGGTCATTTATGTGGCTGAGTCCTGTCCCAGTGCCTCAAAAGTGAGGAGACTTCATTATTTCTTCTTAGTAGACTTTGGATACAGGTGAGGAGAGAGCGTACCCTTTGGGGCTACACAACACAACTGAAGTAAATCTCTGTCTAATGATGATGCTGACTGTCATGTTGGTTTTCATAGTCCATTCTTCTACCAGTCTATTCAATATCTAAGAAAATGCTTACACTTAGCAAATACTTAATAGTCAGACTGCTGAATAAAATAAGAGAAGTTATTTATTTTAGATACATAAAATTTATTATATGTTTAAAAATATAAAAATATAAATCAATTTAAATTATATATCAAATTAATTATATATTAACATAATATAATCAATTAATTGTTATTATGTATTGTATATAATTATTATATATTAATATAATATAATCAATATAATATAGTCAATGTAATAAAATCAATATATCAAATTAGTTATATATTAAAGTAAATATATATTTTATATAAAGTATTTTATAGAAATAAATATAAGTATGAAATTATACATTAAATTAAATACAAAATTATATATTGGTAAATATTTATATATTTTATATGTAAATAAGTTACAAATATTTATTCTAGTTATTTCTGCCAGCCCACGAGTTAAGGGATTAAAGGCAAGAAAAACAGGGCATTTTGGCCCTCTTAGCCTACCTGAGTGAGCAGTAAGTAGCTAAATATCCCAAAGGCAACAGCTTAGTTCAATTTGGATTTTCTGTCCATAGAAGGAATTGACGGGAAATCATGCCACCCCTGAATACTCCCCGACCCCAATCTTTCAGCTTTGCTCCTGGGTGGGGGACACTCATAATTTATGAGTGTGGTGGTACTTTCTCCCACTTTGTTGGAGTGATTATGGTGACTCCACTTGGGCCATGGCTTGGCATCTAGAAGGTGTGCAGTTTCAGTTACTATTCAAACACACACGGAGGGGGACAGCAGCCCTGTAAGCTGTCACCGAGCATGCAGGAAGTTTGCAACTTCCTTTGCAAAGGGTTCGGTAGATGTGTAAGGATTTCAGAGGGTTACCAGTACAGAGCGTCAACTTTTACCTCCTCGTCCTCTGGAAGTGTTAGTATAGAAATTACTCATTTCCAGTAGGGGATGGTGGTCATGCACTCCAGTAATCCCAGCGTTTGGGAGGTGAAGGCAAGAGGATGAGTTTAAGGCTAACCTCTGTTATGAAGTAAGTTCAAGGGCAACCTGGACTACAGGAGACCCTGTCTCAAAACAAACAAAACAAAGCAAAACAACAAAGAAAACAAAAAGCACCAACAACAGCCAATGAAAGCCCACATCCTGTCCTTTGCTGTCCCTTACACTTGCTATTGACTCAGTTTCTCTTACTTTCCTGGGTGAGAGTTTAGAAAACCTCAAACCAACTCTTACAGGATAAGCTTAAATCCTGTGGCCCACTGCTTTGATGCACAGTATGTGTGCCTATCCAGCACATGCCGTGTTTGGAACAAAACATTCCATTTACTTGTCTTGAATTTTAATTTATTTAATTTGTCTGTGCACACGTGGCAGAGTGTGCGTGTAAGTCAGTTCAATCTGTTGAGCTGTTTGCTCCTCCTGCCATGTGGCCACGGAGTCAGGTTTGGTGGTCGGCATTTCTACTTGCAGGGCATTCTCTCCAGCTTGGAATAACACATTTACTTAAGTTACCACGAGAATATTAATAAGGTTAAGATTATCAAGAGAGGGAGAAACCTCTGTAGGATATCTGAGACAATAGTTTAAATGGAACTACAACTGTCTATTCTTTAGACAGTAGCAGAAAATGAGACCTTTGTCTCATCCTGTTTTTATTGTTTTCTTTTACTTTAATAACAATACATATTTTTTTGGACCCCGAGTACAGAGTATAGAGACTGGCAGAGTGAAAGTGAAACTCCTCAGTGTGCATCTGAATCTGTATTAGGCCACACATGTTTCTTATCTCTGCTTCCCTCTCTCAGTGATGACTAACCTTTCCTCTGGGGGATGCTCCTTCCATCTGCCTCCATTTTTAGGAAGTGGAGTATGTAACTCAATGGTTTTCAAAACATACCTCACTGTGGTTTCAGAGTTTCTGTAGTACTATGTCCATTCACACTGGTGTAATTAATTCATCTGTTGGCTGTATCCACTGTCTTTTTTTTTTAACTTCTATTCTTCTCTTGAAAGACCTCCAAGGGGGACCCTGGAAGGACGACACGACCTCAAAGACACTCCTGAGACCAGCTTGCTGTAATAACATGAATCAGGTCCTTTAATATACGAAGCTTCGGGCCGATACGTGCCTCATGCAGGAGGTAGGGGTATCGACCCTGAGACCTAATCGCTTAGGGTTAATAAAGGCAAAGGCTGCGGGGAGGGAGAGGGTTGTGGTTAATCACACATAATTGGTTATTTCAAATGTCTGTAATGTGTGTAAGCAGATCCCAGGCAGAGGTTTGTCAAATCTCGAGGGAACAGTCTCTGGTCCCTGTGGCCTTGGGACCCAGTGTGAATGCTTATCTGAGCCAACAGACCATCTGGCTGAATTTAATTCGCAAGTCCTTGGGACCTCTGGTGGGAGTTTTTCCAGAGGAGGCTAAGTCAGACACCACGGGGACAGATTCTCGGAATACTCAATTGACCTTTGTTTCTCTGTTCTGCATCCCCTGTGACGGCCTCGGGTTAGTAAGTTAGCTGACCTACAATTTTAACTCCCCATATCTGAACCAAGGCTCTCTGTTACATCATTGATCTCAACTAACTCAAAATTCCTTTTCACTCTCATGCATTATATTCTCAACTGCAGTTTCTCCTCTCTCCACTCCTCTCAATCCCTCCTCTTTCCTCCCCTTTCCTTCTGATCAGCTCTTCCTCTGCTTCTCTTCAAACAAGACAAAACAAGCAGGCCTCCCAGGGCTATCCATCAAACATCGCCCTAACAAGATGCAGTAAGACTAGGTACTAACCTTCATATTATGGCTGGATATGGCAACCCTGTAGGAGGAAAATGTCTTTAAAGCTGGCAGATCCAGGCAAGGGGAGAGAGTGGGATGGTGAGTGTCAGAGGCCCAAAGAAACAAATCCGACTGGGAGTCTTGTCAAAGCAGGAACTCAACTTTAATGTAACAACCTCTTGTTTATATAAACTTGAAGCAAAGGGAGGAGTTTTGGTGGGATGAGATGACGTGGGGGGTGGGGGGTGGTGACGGAGGGTTTGAGGTGACCGACAGGGCCAATGGCAAAGCTCTACATTAGCAACAGCTGAGCAGAGGCAGGGCTAAACAGGTCCTGTTGAATCACTCCAGTACAGAAGTGACTAAGACAGGTCTCACACTCCAGCCAGGCTCAGGTTTGTCCTCAAGGCCCAAACCAGGGCTAAAATGGTGCCCAACAGCATGCACACACTGGACAGGAAGGGCATGCACCTCACCGCAACGGACCAGCCACCCTCTCCGGCTCAGGGAAGAGGGTTGAGTGGAATGTATGAACAGAGTGAGCCACGTGGTGGTGGCAGAGTGCCTGATACATCCTCGGGGGACCACCATGGGGCACAGTGGGAGGTATGTGTCCCTGCCTTCCATACACCGCTGGCATGGATGTGGAGGAGAGACAGGGGCCCAATAGGAAAAGGGTCACAAGAGCAGTCAAAAAGTCAGAGAACCCCCCCACCCCCAGACTGTTGGGAGTCCCACAAAAACACCAAGCTATACAACCATAAGGCATGTGCAGAGGACCTAGCTCAGAGCCATGCAAGGTTCCTGTTTGTCGCTTCAGTCTCCCTGAGCCCCTATGAGCCCTGGTTGATTCTGGGTTGTGTTCTCCTGGTGTCCTTGACTTCTCTGGCTCCTATAATCCTCTCTTCTGTGGGGGTTCCCCTGGCTCCAGCTACTGTTTGGCTGTGTGTCTCTGCATTGTTCTCATCGGTTGTTGTTGTATCTCTATTTTTCCTCTGACTCCCCATGATTTTTTTAAACCCACAATGAATATTTTTACATAACCCATTCTCAAGTTTTCTATACTTAGGAAATGGCCCTACAATCTATGCTATTGTTTAGATTTCAGACTGGAGTGTTGGAATTGGCAAAAACTTAGGCAACTGGGAGAAGAGGCAGGTTCTCAAAGGGACAAGCACCAGACCCTGGGCTTGTGCACAGAGAGAACAAACAAACACTGACATTTCGGTAAGCAGTCCTCAGACTGCTAGCCGCCAGTGAATTAAACACGAACCAGAAGAACACCTTGGGGAAAGAGCAGCAAGCCTAAACATGGGCCACAAATCTAATGGATAAACTGATGCTAGCAAGGACTAGATGCTAGCTGTTCTTTCCTGCATCAAAGCTAAGAGACATTGAAAGACAAATTCTTCTTCTTTTTTTTTTTTTGCTATGATATGAAACTTTTAGTAAAGACTGAATATTTTACACATATTCTGTCAAATGTGGTAGCTACTAGACATACATGACTATTGAATGGTTTGGCCAGCAATTGAATAACTGATTTTTTAAAAAATAATTTATTTA